GGCAGTATCAGAGATGGAATTAGAACCCAGGTTTCCTCCTTCCTCACGCTTCTCTGCTCCAACAATACCCAGCAGCTGATGGAAAAGTGTTGGGTGGGGTGAAGGACAGTACAGGCATCAGCATGGGCTGAGCGTAGTTTGCAGAGCTACAAACTCTGAGAGCACTCTACCTGGTTCCTACTCCTGGTCACAATAGCCACCCCTTGTATCCAACACATCACAGCCTCTCTGTATATTCTACCTGTCAAACGGGAGTGAGAGCAGCAGAATTCTGAACGAAGGATTTTCCTGTTGACTTGCCACAGTAAATTACCCTGAAAAATCAAACTGACAAAGGTTCTACGTTGCAACAATACTTCTTAAACCAAATTGCACAAGATCTGGCACTTCAACATACCTCTTCAAATATGTTATTCTTAAAACAATTATATCCTGGACACACATCAAATAGCTAAGGGCTGTACAATTTATCTCCCGGTACTAGTCTGTGGGGAAAACAAAAACCTGGATAAACCTTCCTAACTGCATAGGCAGCAACATGCCCACCAGCACTTTTCTGAACCTTTGAAAATCTGACTTACAAACTAGCTGGCAGGTAATATAAGTTTGTAAGTGCAAATTCAAACGCAAATAGGTTTTTAAGAAATTTGTTTGGAAAATAAGAAATGTTTAGATATGTGGTGTTAGCTCTACGCAAAATTATTACACTATAGAATATGAAAACCCTAAAGGCTGAAGTTAAGAAGAAATACACTTAGGAAAATTTTTAAAAAGCAAGCTGTTTTCCATCAATCAGCTAGGTTTGGGCATCATCACTACTACTGTCAGTATTAACAATTTAACAATTATAATTACAAAGGAGTTTCACAAAATTTATCTCACAAACACAGAATGTTCCCCATTTTACAGATAAGGATGAGGCTTACATAATTAAAACGTTTCGCCCATGGGTCTCACAGCTAGTAAATAATTAGGGCCTCATTTTTCTACAACAGTAAGAATTTTTAAAAGATCATCCTGCTTAAAATCACTTTTAAAAATAGATAGGAATTGCTTGGCATGAAAAAATCTTTAAAGGAATAAAAACAGAAAGAAAATGACAGGTGTTTTATTTTGTTTTGCTTCTCCAATTTAAAGGTAATATACACAATATAATTCCTGATTCTAGACATTCAAATAATTTTCCTGGGCCAGCCCCAGTGGCCCAGTGGTTAAGCTCTGCATGCTCCACTTCCGGGCCCAGGTCAGTTCCTGCGTGCAGACCTACACCATTCGTCTATCAGTGTCCATGCTGTGGCAGCCGCTCACATGGAGAAGGAGGAAGATTGGCAGCAGATGTTAGCTCAGGGCAAGTCTTCCTCAGCAAATAAGAAGAAGAAGAAGAAGAAGAAGAAGAATTTTCCCCATCCTTCTTACTCTACAACTTTTTGTTTATTGTGGATTTCATTGTGAATGCCCATATATGTACAAACGTATGCACGACATCATCTTTTCCAAATTATGTTAAGAAAACATTGTGATTCTTAAAACTACTTCCTGATATCATCCAAACAAAGATTATGCATTTTTACTGACATGATACCTTTCGGTCACTTTTTAAGACATCTGTTTCTCAAGTTATAAATTTCATGAGGCATATATCTACTCTAAGTCCTTTTCTACCTCTTACTACAATTTGTTCAGCACCCAGAGAATCTCCAATAAATGCAGACGACAATCTCAATACTCTCCTCAGACTAGGGTTTCTCAATAGACATTTTGGGCTGGATAATGCTTTGTTGTGGGGAGCTGTCCTGTGCATTGTAGGATGTAGCAGTATTCCTGGGGTCTACCCACTAGATCCCAGTAGCACACCTCTGCCCCTCAGGGTGACAATCAAAAATGTCTCATTGCCAAACATCCTCCTGGGGGCAAAGTCATCCCTGGTTGAAAATCACTGCCTTAGCCTACTCAAATACTCCAGTTAAGAGGAATCGCCTTAGTTTATCATCTGTTTCCAAAGAATAGTAAGACCAGTGTGTGAAATTTTTTACAGGTTAAATTCTTCCCTTCCTCAAGATATGAAAATTTTTTTAATTGCTTTTTGGTGAGGAAGAGTGGCCTTTAGCTAACATCTGTTGCCAACCTTCCTCCTTTTTTTTTCCCTTTCTCCCCAAAGCCCCAGTAATAATTGTATATCGAGTTCATCTATGTGAGATGCCACCATGGCATGGCTTGATGAGCAGTGTATAAGTCTGTGCCCAGGATCTGAACCAGCAAACCCCAGGCCACTGAAGTAGAGTGTGCAAACTTAACCAGTACACCACCAGGCCAGCCCTAAGGTGTGACAATTTAACAAGGAAAAAACTGGAAAAGTCCAACTCTATACACATAAACCTTATTTGCTAAAGTAAATAGTTTCCAAATAAGCTTATATAAAATTTTCAATTCTTTATAAAATTTGTCAACATCATGGATGTCATAAATATCAGCTATTTTATTAAATTAATATTCCCACTTGCTTACCATAAAGAGTTTAAGATAAATTTCTTCAGCATATTTTCAAAGAATAGAAATAGTCCACTCACATATTTTGCCTTTCTATTTTAATGGGGAACTGGTGTTATAAAGAAAACATATTGAGCAATGACTGTAAATGCTCATGACTTGGAGCTTCCCTTATAACCACCACAAAAACAAAAGGCAGCAAAACTTTACAGAAGCAGAGCTATGGGCTGATAAAGCTGAGGGCATCCCCGATGGGACTTCCACCGGATACAGTTGCTAAAAGAAATGAGTTCATTTGTACAGACCTATTATAAAATTGATTTTGGCCACTGGCAGAATGCTTTTTTCTAAAAGAAAAAAAAGTGAGATAAAAGAAAAGAAATTCTCTTTTCCTATATTTTGCTCAAAAAAAAGAGAGAAATAGATGACATAAAACCATAGCATTTTAATTTCAGTTGTGAAAAAGTTCAACATCCTCAGGCAGTGTACATCACAATTTCAAAGTAAAACCACTTACAATTAGAATCACAAAATATCGACACTGAAGGACCCTTAGATGTTACCCATTCCAAACCCTAATTTTAAAGAAAAAGAAACAGGAAAATTTGGTAGGGAAGGAATCGTCGACTGTATCCGTAAACTTTATTTCTTTTTTTTTTTTTTTTAAAAGTCTGAGTTAAAGAGGGCACAATGTTATAACTTGGGTAAGTCATTTTGAGTAGTGATTACATAGGAATATTATATTATTTGGTATGATTTTTTCTATTAAAGTTTAAATTAAGATGAAGAAACTAAGGCCTGGTAAGGTAAATGCTAGTCCATCACAACAAGCTAGAACAGCAGGTTTCCTAAATGCTAGCCCAGTACCTTTTCAGATTTTAAATAATGTTTACAAACTAGAAGGAATAATTTGTATTATGAGACAGCATTCTGAAGAAACACTCGATCCCTCCAGAAGGCACTGGACATCTAATTCCTTAAATGCCTCCTTCTTTACTTCTCTTTCTCTCACATTATACTTACTGTCCGGGGAAGACATGTAAACAAAGTGTATATTGTTCAGCAAACAAAAATGAACCAATCAAATGATCAGTAACCTATTAAAAGCAGGCTCCTCCACAATTTAGGGCAGCACTCATGGTTGTATAACAACATCACCCAATATAAAAATATGATTCACATATGTAACTATGAATTTTAGGAACCAGGTTTAAAAAAAAAAGCTAAAAGGGGGAATGAATTTTAATAATACGTCGTATATATTTAATCTATGTATTTATATACGATATATTTAACAATGCATATTATTACATACAATATATTACATATTTAATAATGTATTTAACCCAATATAATCAAATTATTCCAACACGTAATCAACATAAAAAAACAGATATTATACACTTTCTCCTATTGAGTATTTTCAAAACTGGGTGGGTATTTTATACTTACAGCACGTCTCAATTCACACTAATCACAATTCAACTGCTCAACAGCCACAGTGCTGAGCGTCGACCCTATCAGACAGCGCACATCTCTAACTATTTGTTGACTGAATTAAAACGAGTTCCACGCATTTAAGTAGTTCTTTGGATTTCCCTCCAAAACTGACAAAATTCCCAAAAGCCTTTTGTAGAGTGAGAAAGCATCCCCAATGTCCCCCAAGGTTAAGATGTAATTAGTGCAATTAACTCGGCTTTTTGAAAAGTGTGCAAGCCTACTACTTACTGTCTACTTCTTTACACTTAACCTCTAGGATAGAAACGTTGGGGTAAACTCGCGGGCACGCCCCTAACTGATGATGCCAGTCGTGGCCTCAATTTCTTTTTATTGCTCCAACAAAAAAACTGAAAGTCCTCTTCTTATTGAGGGAGAAGTAAACATTAAGGGAAGAAACCACTTTCTCAGAAGTTGAAAGTACTAAGAGGAAGATGCCCTACTGACATGCCTTTCGTGACGCTCTTCCCCTGCTGATCCCTTCCCAGCCCTGCCATCCCAAAGAGGAGGAAGCCAGTTCCTGCTGGCTAGAAAATGCCGGAGAAGGTAACTGCGAAACGCGATCTCCTTGTTCTTTTTCCTTGATACCACTTTATTTGGGCGCGTGTGACTACACAGCCATCCGCATTCCACGCGGGGCGGGAGCAGAAAGGGTTTCTTCACGCTGTGGAGCCAAAGGGGGCAGGCGGAGGGCAGCTAGAGGATCCCCAAGGTGGGCAGAGCGGGACAGGGCAGAGGCTTCGGCCTCAGGGACGCGAAAGGTGGGAAGTCGGACAGCGCGAGCGCGACTCTGCCGCATCTCCCCACCCGGGCCCCCGCGGCGGCGCAGGCGGGCACAGGCCTCCCGGGGCCCCGCACCTGCCGCCCGGGGACGGGGCCCCGCCGAGCGCCCTCCCCGGAGGCGGAGTCTCGGGCGGCGCAGGGAGCAAGGCCCGGGCTGGAGCCCCGGCGGGAGGAGCCTGCGGCGTGGACCCCTCAGCAGCGCCCGCAGCCCCCGGCCGCGCCCCCTCGCTTACCGCCCCAGATCCCCAGCTTCAGCTGCGATTTGTTCAGGTTCTCCACATAGTCGCCCAGGAAGCGGTTCAGCAGGTCCGCGACCACCGACTCCAGCACCATGGTGGGGCTGAGGCGGCGGCCGAGGGTGGAGCCGGAACCGCCGGGCGCAGCTGAGGGCGGAGACCTGCGCCCCGCATGACAGCCCCTCGGGCGCCGACCCGCCCCCGCGCCGCGCCGCGCGTGACCCGGCCGTGCGCAGGCGCGCCGCCGCCGCCGCCGCCGCCGCCGCCGCCAGAGGCCGGGAGGACTGGGCCCCGGACGTCTAGGATGCTGCAGCCGCCGTCATCTGCGGGCGGGCAGACGAGCGGCGGGGAAGCCGGGTTTGGGCCTACGTGGGCAGTGGGTCCGAGGAGAAGGGAAGAAAAGGAGAGGGCAGGAGTTAGCACGGAGACATCTGTGTGGCCGCTAGGCTTCCCCGCCCCGTGTTGACCTCGGTGTGCAGAGCTCAACCGTCCCAGGTGAAAGCAGCTCCCGCGTCTGGCCCCAAGCGACCCGCCGGGCGCCCGGCGCTGCCCAGGCCTCGAGCCCACCCCGAGCGCTTCCTAAGCAGCCAGCCCTTCGCCTGTGGGTGAGGCGGGGAAAAGGAGACACTGCCCCCTTGTCCTGCTACAGATCAACTCGGCCTGGGGCAAGGTCTCCGCTTCGTCTTGCTTCGTGAAAACACACTTTAATGATCTAAGAGTGGGAGGAGAGAGAACAGAACTGCAACTTAAGATGGCAGATAAGATGGGAACTGAATTTGCGTTTTCCTCTCAACTCATTCTTTCTCGCCCTTCTGGGCTTGATTCGTTCTTAATTCCAAAGCTACTTTTTAGTTTTCTATCCTGTTAGGGAAATAAACGTAGTACTTTTTTTCCTTTAAGTATGGATTAGCTGTTATCTTTTTATCACTTTCTTCCATGCCATCATTGAACTGTTTCTGGTGTGGCGAGACGTTGCAAACAGGACTTTTCTAAAACAAAGACTTTGTACCTTAGTAGAATTTAACCACCCATTGCCAAACCAATTTGCTTTAGAGAACTGGACTTTTTTTCCAAAATACATTTCAAGAAGCTGTTGAGATGCAGAAACAAATAAACCTGAGAAATGCTAAGCTTATTTGTAATCACAAGCATTGATTAAATGCTTTGTTACTGGGAACGTCTGGAAAACTATGTGTAAGTTGCTCTTAAACAACTGCTATAGACTGAATTTGCTGCCCCCTCCCCAGGCCCCCAGCCCCAGTTCATATGTTGAAATCATTAACTAACTACCAATGTGATGGTATTAGGAGGTGGGGCCTTTGGGAGGTAATTAGGTCTTGAGGACAGAGCCTTCATGAGTGGGGATTAGTGCTCTTAAAAAAGAGATGCCAGAAATCTCCCTTGCCCCTTCTCATATGAGGACATAGCAAAGGCAACACCCATCTATGAACCAGGAAGTGGGCTCTCACCACACGCTGAATCTGCTTGATCTCGGATTTCCCAGCTTCCAGAACTGTGAGAAATAAATTTGTGTTGTTTTTAAACCACCTAGTCTACGATATTTTGTTATAGCAGCCTGAAAGGACTAAGACAACAGCTTAGCCTTGCAGAGGATCAAAAAGAAAAATCACTTCTTAAATTCAAAGTCCATTGGAGAAGGAAAAAATAGTCAAAACATCTTCAATTGGTGTTATGTAAAATGGATGTAAAACAAAGACAGAAGCAATGCTAACGAGTACTATCAATATCCGCCTCCATTCTCCACTCCTGCACACAGAAAATAAATCTTTAACTGCTTTTCCTGGTTCAGTCACTCTGACAGAATACCTACAAGGCATTAAGACTTCTTTCTTTCGCTATCCGCAACCAATTAACAGCCAACCCTGTCTGTTCTACTTTTGCTGTAGTCTCTAAGTTCTTAGGTCTCACCTAGACCATTGCAGTTCTGCCAGCTGGTCTCCTGGCCGCTCATTTTTCCCTTCTCCATCCATCTGCACACTGCCACCAGAGCCAGTTTCCCAAAGCACAGGTGAACTCCAGTTACTGTTAACAAAAATTCAACTGATTAAAGATCAAATTGTCCTTATTAAATGATTCATGAATTGGGCAGCATCCCATCTAGCAAATAGAAAGGAGCTCCCTCAAGCTGCAGAAAAGGAAAAAAATTTTAAGGCAGAGAAGAAGCAGGAAAAAAAGGAAATTATTAGCCAAGAATGCTTTGTTTCAGGCAAGGTCACCCACCCAAGGAAAATGGAAGGGGTCTGTCAGTGCACTACCTCCTTATGCTGACCAGGAAATTCCAGGTTGGCTGGTTAAAGGTCGCATTCCTGGGAAGGTTGCAACGGCAGTTAGGTTAGGTATTAAGTTTTGGTGGAGCTTAGCACAAGTGACTCCATTTTGGGCCTACTGTCTCCTTTTTAACTTAGTCACCTGCTCAGAAACATCCAGTAACTTTCCAGTGTTCACAAAGCCCTCCTTGGTCTGCCCCAAGGTTTTCCTAGAGCACCCCCCCTCCTCCAACGGTCCCTCTCCCTTTGTATACTCACACCAACTACGCACTGAGGAGGATGCCAAAAATGGCATGTTCTGTTTGGGATAAGGCATGCACCATAAAAAAGTTAAGAGACAATTCAAGGCTGAATGAATAACAGTGCGAGACCATATGAAAGATGCTATAGGCAGAAGATTGTGTTCAAGCAAACTGAACAGAAGGTGTAAATTGGTGGGACAAGTGGACAATACTAACCCTGTGTAATAATGATTCCTTGCACTTTCACGGTGCTTTACACTTTAGAAAGAAAGTGTAAAAGAAAGAAAGCACATATGTATGCTTTTACATGCATTATCCTATTTTATTAATAGCTCTTGTGTTATTCCTCGTGAGCTATCATGCCATTATTATGCCAAGATGTTCATTTTCATATCATCCTCACAAAAGATCTGTGAGATAAGTAATGCACGTAATAGTGTTTCCATTTTAAGAGAAAATTAAGGTCAGGAATAGGAAGTGATTTCCCCAGAATTACACAGAAGGTATTAATTTCCTTCAGCTTCCTGAGCACTGCCATCTTTTCTCTTTCAGTAATGAGAAATGAAGGAGAAAGCTAGAGAATAGCATGACAACATGGACTGTCAGGAAAGTTAGGAGGGTTAACTGGGAGAAAGCTCTGGAGTGGATTGCAGAATGCTAGAGCCAGAGGCAAACACAGATCACCTGGTTAATCCAACCCCCCTCCTCATCTGACAGATGGAGACACTGAGTATGAAAGAGAATGAAGTGACTTGCCAAGGTCCCACAACAAGTTAGTGACTGTCGGATAAAACCTGAGAGTACTGACTCCCCGGTCTGAGTTCCTTCTGTTACTCCATACTCTAGTTGTGTTGAATGAGATGCACAAGGCAGAACACCAGTATTTTCTTGGGCTATAAACTCTCTTCTTTCTTTTCTTGACACTCAACCTCCTATATATTATATGTCTGCTTTACATTGCTCAGTTTCCTTCTACTCCAAGAGCACCTCTGACCTCAATGGTGTGTGATATATTTATGCTTACTTCACAGAATTATTTTCCAGCTCCATCACTGAATGTTCCCGTGGCTATAGCTGTGAGCTCAGAACGGCCGCATCTTCCTCTAGGTAGATTTGTGTGTTCCAGGCACAGGGCCTCATCCTGTTAGACCATCCTCCCAAGTACTGCATGGCTCATGCTCCTGAGGCAAGTAAAACATAAGGCTTAATGTGGTCACAGGGGACCAGCCACGCAAGGGAAGGTCTCTGCTGTTTTCAAGACATTTTATACAGGAATTGTCTAATCTCTGCTTCTAAAGTATTATTGAAGAAGGTGAATTGTTAATGAAAACAAAGCAAACCTGCTTTGCTTTGCCAAGAAGAAAACGTTTTTAAAGGAGTTCATGTGTGGCTCAGCTAATCCCTAGCCAAGCAAACCTGTATAATACTACTAACAGCTAACTGTTAGCCAGCACTTACTATGTGCCAGGCATTTCATGCATTTTTAACCCTCACACAATCTTGTGGAATAGGTGTTATTACCCCCATTTTACAACTTGGCTCAGAGAGGTTAATTCACTTGCCCACAGTACCACAGCTAAAAACTTGCACAGCAGATTTGGAGCTAGGACAGGTTCCCTCCAAAGTCTCTGTTTCTTCACTCCTAAATCATTTCTCATGCCCTGGTGCTCTTTCCCTTTCTCCCACCACAACATGGCTTTGCTTAACAACTGCTCAGATTGTGAGCCTCACCATTTTAACTGAGGCCTCTCTGGGCTCTCACTTGCAGAGCCAAGATCGTCTTGTCTCCTGAGAAAAGCCGAGTCAAAACACATGCACTTGAACCTTGAGTATATAATTTGGTAATCATTCTCCCATAGATTTAGCACTGGCCCAAGAATTTTGGCCACGAGTGGAGAGGATATAAAAAGACAAAGAAATAGCTGGTCAAGGGCATGGTAAACCCAGGGACCCACCAACTGTGCCCCCTAGACTAAATATATAAACTGTAGTCAATAGTCACTTCTCACTCCTGTTACCAGACCAGGCTCCTTTTGCCCACCACGTTTATGCCAATCACTGAGACAACAAACAGAGAAAGGGTTTAATTCACAAGGCAGCCAAGCGAGGAGATGGGAGAACAAATCTCAAATCTACCTCTCCGAAAAATGGGAGTTAGGAATATTTATGGGATAAAGGGATGGGGTGGTCTGAAGTGTGGGGATAGATGATTGGAGGTAAGAAAAGTGAGGAATTGATGATCTTACACAAGCGTAGTCAAGTTTCATGGCTCTTCACAGGACTCATGTTCACATAATGGCGGCATTACCGTGATCTGAGGGTAGAGTTTTGGGCTTCTTAACATCAAAGGGTCACTTATTGGTCATCTGAGAAGGCCCAGTTGATGAGTTGGTGGTCTTAACCAGCCTGAACTGGACAAGAAGTCGACTCTCAGTTCCTGAAAAAACTCAAGCCCTCATTACCATGGTGACCCACGCATCAGAGATGTTATCCGTAGGTGGGTTTCAGTAATGCATTATCTAACCGCTTTTGCAAATAGACAACTGAGTATAGTTAAAGCAGGTTGGTCCCCTGTTTCACTTCTGCCTCAGCCAGATGGAATTCAAATATTTCATCAGCATTTCATTTCTCTTCTGACAGATGCACATAACTGATGGGATCTTGTACAGCCTGGAAACAACTGCCTAGCCTGGTCGATGGAACCCAAGAAGCATTCTGTAAATATTGCTTTCAATGAATAAATGAACTAATGAACATTTGCTCTCTTCTGTAATAACAATAAATATAATATCTGACATTGTATATGTCAGGCTCTATGCAAAACTCTTCATATGCATTATCTTATTATGTGCTATCCTATAGGTAGATACTGTTATTATCAGAAGGAGCGAGGGAGCTCTCCTGGGTCTCTTTTATGAGGTCACCAATCCCATTACTTCCCAAAGGCCCCACCTCCTAATTTTATGTTTGATACTGTGGCTTAGAAAGGTTAAGTAACTTGCTCAAGGTCACATAGTGAGCAGCCATTCTGGAATCAAAACCAGATCTGATTTCAGACCCAATTTTCTTAACCATTACACTCTACAATTTCCCTTCTATCTTAATTAATAATAATAATAATCACTGCTTCAGTGTATTTAGCAATTATCATGATCCAGGCACAGTCCTAAATATTTTACATTTTTAGAGTTATTTAATCCCCCAAGCAATTCCTTTATGCCTGTTAGTATGTATTATTTCCTCCATTTCCCTGTGTGAACTTGGTAAGTTACTAGGAATAATCATAATTTGCAGGGTTTATGTGATAATTCTAGAAACTATATGTAAATCATCAAGCACAGTGCCTATGTAGGTATATCCTGGAAATGAAATGCATACACCCCATCCTAAAATCACCTTTGCATGAATTCAGTTTAATTTATTGAACATTATTTGGAGAAACAATTAATTTACAAGGCAGTATCTTAGGCAGAAACAGCATACACCCAAACGCTGAACAAAATGCCTGTTTTGTTTTGGGGGCCAAAAAATGCTCAAAGACAGGCTGTCTTTGCCAAGAGTTTAACACAGGTTCACTGTGGGATTAATAATAGTTTCACAAGCCAATAGGATACAGGATAATGTCTTTTAATAAGCCAATAAAGAAACAGCATAACATCCTCCAAACCAATGCTAGATTAATCACATTATTGTTCCAGGCAAGGGATGATAAAAAGAATAAAGCCCAAATTTAGTTCAAGGTGTACCTTTTTATATGAGTATGCACTTGGGAGAGGCGGCTCGGCAGCCAGCGCAAAAGTGAAAAGAGCCCTGTTGCTAGGGAGCGACAGCACTGGCGTTGACCAGCAGGATAGGCTGCTCCTAAAGTTATCACTCCAAGGGCCATCAGATGGCCCTTCTCGTCCTGAGACTGCTGCACCGTTTAACACCACTGCCAACCAAAGGGTTGCTCTGGCCAAAACAGGAGCGAGTGTCTCAAGATCTTCGGATTTAGATCAGTAGAGTCTCCTTGCCCAGACACAACCCTCTCGAATAATTCTCACAAACTCTCAGTATTTATAGTCTAAATGTCCCCTTGCCGTACATAGTTGCTTCTCCACACATTCTCACTTGATAAGCCCCTAGCAGGGCCCCTCAGCAGCTCAGCTACTGAGGTCTTTATCTACAACAACACGTGAGATGACATCCTGACACAATTTACTTCATTCTTATATCAAAACAACAGCTTTTTTTGGTCTTGGTCATAAACAAGTGAATTAAAACAAGTGAAGGCATAAACAAGTGGATTTGAGATCACATTAAACCAGTGCACAACAATGCCTCAGACCCTTTCAACCTGAGCTAGCTGGAGGCAGCTCTATTACAGGGAACGTAGGTCAATTTTCAAAAGGACGGAACAGAGTCTCTCCCAGGCATAGCCTAGGAAGGCAGGGGTGCTCAGGGTGCCTCCAAAGGGTGGTTCCAGCAGCCCAGTTATACGCAGGAGTATATTTTCCCAATCAAAAATCAGCACACGTGGCTTCAGAAGTGGGTTGATTTTTTTTTAACTGAGGTATAAGATACATACAATCTTACAGGTAATCTTAAGTGTATGCTAAATGATTGTTTAACATATGGGATACACCCCTGTAACCCCACCCAGATCAAGATACGGAATATTTCCAGCACCCCATAAGGTTCCCCATACCCAGAGTGGTTTATAATCAACAACGAAAAAACATTTAAAATTGGAACTGAAAACCAGAAAGCAGGTAAGGAACCTCAAACGCTGGGCAACCGAAAGCCTGGATCTGGGGGAGGGTATAGGTAAGAATAAGACAAACCGGACTTTTATCTTCCTTTAATGGTGGGTACAGAGTGTTTCTGTGCATTCCAGTTCATTATGTCGGTGGATCCCCACAATGCCTGCGATATAGTCAAGACAACCATCTTTTACACCGTGAGAAAACAGAAACTGGTTTAGGCTAACATCCCCACTCAAAGCAGGAAAGAGAGAGAAGGGGATCTCTTGGATGTGCGCAGCAGATCCAGCCACGTGGCAGAAGGAAAGGCCTGGCGTCAGGTTACCAAGCAGCGCAGCTCACGCCCGCCCACTGGCCGGCATCCCAGGCTCCAGGTATAAAGGCTCCCGCTGGTTGTCCTTGAACACTGGTACTGAACCCCGCCGCGCGCCCTTTGAACTTCCCAGAGGCTGCGCTCCTCTCCAGGCCGGTACCCCACGTTGAATGGTGCAGAGACCCATCTGGCCACCGGACCCCAGGTACCTTAGGAGGGACCCATAGCTTTGCTTAACTCCCCCTGGGGCTCTCTGAGGCGCTTTGCGCCTAAAGGGGAGAGCAAGCCCTGTGTCCTGGAAGGGGATAACAATTATTATTTTAATTCTCTCTGAGGACTAGCGTGCAAGAACCAAGGATTCAGGAAACGATTGCCCAAGCAAAGCGCCTCGTGGCATGGAGGATTGTGCGACCAAAGTTAGCGACCAACATTTTGAATCACCGCCTTAGACCAGGGAAGGGGGATCGAAGGTAAAGCAATAAGCCCCGAGGTATACGTAACTACGGAACAGAGACAGGACGAGAGAAGAACAATTGTTTTTCAATCACTGAAACATAATTTGCAATAGCAGGTAAGGGGCAGTCTGCCTTGGCCCCGGGGGAGGCAGGAGGAGGCACCCCAAAAATAGAAAAAAAGAGTTAGGAATTGCTGCGCCCTGCAGGGCTTCCTCTGACAATCGGTGTGCGCTCGTGCGTTACAGGCTGACCAGCTCCAGCAGAGGGTCGCCCGGATCCGGCACTTGCCGCATGATGTGGTGCCTGGAGCGGCTCTGTTGGGGTCCCGAGCGCCTCCTGCGGGGCGGGCATGGGTTTCTCCAGGGTCGGGCCCGCCGAGGCAGGACTGTCACACCCGCCGCGTGCGCAAACGTGCTCACTCCGGACCGCATCCCCGAGTTCTGCATCCCCCCGCGACTCGCGCCCTGCCCGGCCCTGGCTGCACTCCGGGACTCCTGGGGTCAAGAAGAAGGGACAGACGACAGCGCCGGGCGCACGGACTGGGACCCGCGCTCGCAGGCAGCGCTCTCGCTGCCGCACCTACCCCGCGCGCGCACCGCTTACGGCTTCTGCGCGCTGCTCGAGAGCCCGCACACCCGCCGCAAGGAGTCGCTCTTTCTCGGGGCGCCCCGCGCCGCCGCGCTCCGCCCCCGTGCCCGCACCCTCGGCGGCGGCGACACCCACCTCGTCCCCCGGGCCGGAGCCCCCGCCACCACCCCCGCGGCCCCCGGCGGCCCCCGCCCGCCCCGGGACGCGCTCGCCCCGCGGCCCCGCGGCCGCTGTCTCCTGCGCGCCCCCGAAGGGCTGCTGAGACGCGCGCTGCGGGCCCGGAGGAGGGGCGGCCTGGCCCGCGCCCGCTCCGTGTCCAGCGGGGACGGCGACGAGGACGAGGAGCGCGCCGCCGGCTCGACGCCCCCCGCCCGGGCCGCGTCCGCCGCGCCGCCGCCCCCCATCCCGCGGCCCGAGCGCCTGGAGGCCGAGGGCACCGTGGCTCTGGGCCGCGCCGGCGGCGCCCTGCGCCTGGCCGCCCAGTACAGCCCGGCCAGCGGGCGCCTCCGCGTCCGGCTGCTCCGCGCCGAGGGCCTGGCCGCGGGGGCCGCCGAGCCCCGCGCCGTCGGCTGCCGCGTCAGCTTCATCCTGCAGCCGCCCGGCCCGACCCGGCCGCAGCGCGGCGCCGTGGTGCGGCGGAGCCGCCGGGCCGCCTTCGAGCAGGACTTGTGCCTGGACGGGCTCTCGGAGGACGAGGTGCGCCGCCTGGCCGTGCGCGTCAAGGCCGAGCGCAAGGGCCGCGGCCTGGAGCGGGGCCGCCGGCTGGGCCAAGGCGAGCTGCTGCTGGGCCCCCTGCTGCTCCTCTGAGGGCGCGGGCGGCCCGGGCCTGCCCTCGGGCGCTGTCTGCCCGCCGGCTCGCGGACACGGGGACACGGACAGCCGCCTTGTACAAAATAAACATGTATTTACCCTTTTAGTCAGACTTTTCAGTCCAGTATTGGCAGAGCTGATACTGAATTAATCATCACAGTAAAGGATGTAATATTTTCTGTAGATACCTTTCAAAAGTCTTTTCAGCAAATGGTATGGGGTTCTGCAGTAGTGTTTCCCAAGGTAGACAGCCAACTGCATTTCATTTGTTCCCCACAGTCCTATTGGGAGATGAGTCACACGACGGTTAAAACTAGAGGGTGTCTTGGCCGTCTATTTGCTCCAATTTCCTCATTTTGAAGTTTGCTCATTGCACCACATCCATTAAGACCATCTTCGAAAATTTATTACTTATGGAGCGTTGGGTAAGACCCCAGACAAGAAAATGAGGCCAAGAGAGTCACCATTGACTTGTCCAAGGTCAACAGTGAATATTAGGAGGAATCCAATCTGATATTCTTGGCTACATTTTGCTGGAGAAGCATTGGAGAAATGGAAAAACATTTTAATGTTCTAAGGTTAAATAATAATTATAATAGTTTCATAAGTATTAACTTGTAATTCTTAGAACTACCCTTAAAAAGTGGGCATGGCGATTTCATTTTGCAGATGAGGATCTTGAGGCACAGAATAAAGAGCAGAGTCAGGATTTGCACCTAGGCAATCAGATTTTACTCGTTACTCTATGGAAGTAAGACAGTGTCTGAAGGGCTCATCTCACTACTGTTGTGAGACTGCAACTTATGTTCCAAATTGTTGACTCTGAGGTTGGGGTCTCCTCACAGTCCTTACCCTCTAGTGGAAAAGCTAATTGGTTGAAATGAGTAATTTATTATCTCATGCTAATGACTTCAGGCATTGAGATGAGCTGAGCCTAAGACTGTCTGAGGAGGAAGCTAACTGGCCTCAGAGTCGTAGAAAAAGGGGTGTCAGCCTTACTGGCACAAGGTGAGCTAATGTGCCAGGGCAGGGAGTCACGAGCATACCTGTAACATTGTTCTACCTCTGGCTTCTGACAATAATAATAGGTTTACTATGCTTTAAAGAGTAATTTCCTTCATCCCTCACGTTCACTGCCTACCAGGCATGTTTCTTCCTTTCTTATGCATACAGGAGGAAAACATGTCCTAAGTGAGGGTTGAAAATATTTAGCTATGTGGTATAGTGTTAAATAGGACTACATTATCAGTCTGGATTCAGCAATGGTTTCTGCTTTCACTAAACTGTTGACAGTTTTATCCATTGGTGCTCACGAAAAATGCTATTTAGGAAAGAGTTTCAGTTTTAGTCACAGCTCAGGCAAAAACTGACAACGGGTTATTGTAGTGAGTATTTACAATGGCAGTCACTGAACAAATGTGAAGAATAACTGTGAATTCATTGTTTTTTGTCAAAATCCACCACATCTGGAAGCTGGAATGGTTGACCAAATGAATGATGATATAAAAGCAGTTCAGATTTGTAACATGCTCTTCTGTCTACTCTAAGGCACCATTTCCCTGGCCTGTAAGCCAACAATTATTTCTTTTAATGTATAACCTTCTTAATGACTTTAGAATTTTGGTAAAGTAACTAATACTGAGTTCACATATGTAGTACTTTAAAAGGAAAATAAACGGAGAGTGAAAACAGCTCGTATACAACATCATGTGGAATTTTCTTTTTCTTCCTTTTTTAAAAATAAAAACAGATTGCTTTGATGATTTAAATAGCAAAATCTTATTCCAGAAAACATTGCAATCATTATTGTCACTAGATTATATACAAATAATAGGTTGGGGGCAGAAGTGTCATTTTGTTAAGAAGGTAAATCAACATATTTCAGGGACCTAAATTTTCCATGAAATAATGGTGGGCATTTTCAAGCAGAATATCCACTAATATCGTTATGGTTGATCAAACCGAAGAGCCTAATCAACAAGATTTTTGAATGACTGAAATATAATCATAAATCATAAAACCATGGAATTTTAGAGTTTAAATAACTTTAATAATCATTTTGTGCAAATTCGTGTATCATATGAGAGGAACAGAAGGCAAATTGTAGATTGCCCCAAATCATATAATTAGTAAAGGCGCTAAGACTAGAATCAATTCTATTCTCATTTTGCTCTTCAACCTAATGAGTCGTTGGACTCCTACTTCCAAGAAAAGAGAAACATTTGTACATAAAGTATAAAGTATTTTACATCACTGAACTAATTTGAACTTTTTACATTTAAGACATGTTTGCAACAAGTTTTTTTATAACCGGCGTTTCTGGAGGCAAATTTAAATTTGGTTTGCACATTGCTGCCCCCTAGTGGACCGCTAGTGTGTTTTGTCAGTGGATCTACTTACTGTTAGACCAACTAAAGGCAGACCAATCTAATGTCAGAACCCAGTGACCTTGAAGATGTGTGCTAGTGAAGATTCGCATTGCACAGTAACTAAATACAGCTATCTGAGTGTAGAAGGTGCCAAAAAATATTTTAGATTAAAAAAGAAAAGAAAATTTTTTCCCAGTAATAATGAAGCTGGGGATATGTGGCAAATGGCATGCTGGTTGCAGAAAATTGCTTTAAGAGTTCTTATGTTTCCCATCGGGCTTTGGGTATGCACATCTTTTCCCCCAAATGATATGGCACAATCTTGCCTCTTTGTGGTTTAAATATACGAACATATTCAAAGAAAAACCCTATACAACAGATCAGCAATATGCCAGTTTAAAAAGCGTTAAGCACGAATTTAAGAATTAAACCAACAGCTTTGTCACTTGGTTTTACAAAGATAATGCATTCTATTCCTAAAATACTAGCTTTAATATGGCTCAAACATGCCCAGAAGATTATTTCTTTAGAATACAATTTTCTTTTACAGACACTTCAACAATTCACAAACGTTTTCCCCATATCCATTCCCAGGACTTAGGTCAGAATACTATTTTTTGTAAAGATGTTTAAGAGACAGAGCAAAAGGTGGATACCATGTAATCTCTATGATATTAAAACAAGAATATGTGGTATATGGTATAATATATGGTAAAAGTACACAAGCTTTCAGCTATAAGATGAATAAGTCTGAGGATCTAATGTCTAACATGGTGCCTGTAGTTGATAACACTATATTGTATAATTGATATTTGCTAAGCAAATAGAACTTAAATGTTCTCACCAAAAAAGGAAGAAGAAAAATATATGAGGTGATGGATGCGTTAGTTAACTAGATGGGAGGGAAAGCAATAAAAATATATAAGTGGATAAAAAGGCATTCAAAAGGCTCATTTAGAACATCTATCATGGGGCAAACACTGTTCAAGATTCTAGATTTACAGCTGTAAGTAAGACAAAAAAGGTTCTTACTCAATGGAATTAAGCATTCAAAGGTGGGAGAAGAAATAGGCAATAAACAAATAATTTCAGCAGTGTTTCAGAAAATAAAACACAATAATGAGAAAGAGTGTGACTAGGGTGAAAGGGCACCTTAGAGTGGACAGTTTCTTTTTTTTTCTTTTTTTTTTTTTTTTGCTGGGAAAGATTCACCCTTAGCTAACATCTGTTGCCAATCTTCCTCTCTTTTTTTTCCCCCTTCCCAATGCCCCAGTACATAGTTGTATATCCTAGGTGTAAGTCCTTGTAGTTCTTCTATGTGAGATGCTGCCACAGCATGGCTACTGACAGACGAGTCGTGTGGTTCTTGGCCAGGGAACCAAACTCAGGCAGCCACTAAGCCATCAGAGCTGGCTCTAGAGTGGACAGTTTAGAAAGGCCTGTATGAAACCTGACACTGAGCCTCTTTTCTATCTTCATGCACATATTGCTATTGTAGCTCAATCCAGTGTACTGATCTCAGGACTCCTGGCCTCCCATGGTGACCTGATAAGTGCTTTCCTAGGAATTCTGCTTGTACCTTATCACTAGTGGGAAATACTTCCTGTGGGGTTCAGCCATGGTATGTAGAAGTTCTGCCTCCAGGGTTACGAGCTTGACAGATGGAATAGAGCTGAGGCAGCCCATGGTGTCTACAAACCCAGCTTTTACTGTTTTGCATGTTAACATAGCAAAATCCCATTGGCAAAGAATTTTATTATGGCGCTATAATGGCTCTGGCATTAATTTGAGAGGATTACAAACTCTGGTCAGATTAAGCCTCTGGTGTATTAGGAAGCAAATAGCAACATGTTTCAGGGATTTTTTTCTTTTTTGCATTTTATCGTTTTCACAGCAAATTTTTACCCTTTATGCCCTTTAACGATCTCAATGACTATTTGGTCTAGTTACTCTTACTATACCTGGGGTAGATGCTGTAGATTGGCTTTTTCAACACCTGATCTTACCCCTTATTGCTTTCTCTTCTGTGCTATAGAGGCTAGAGAATAAAAACTTGGCTTCCTAGACCCTGTTTCAGCTATGGGTAGCCACATAACTCAGCTATGGCCAATGAAACATAAGAAGTCAGCTGATGGTGCCATTTCCTCTTCTTCTTCCTGCTGGAACATTCAAGTTGCTTGAGGAATGGTAGTCATCATCAAGGAAAGTAGAAGGATCGCGGTTCCTCAGTGACGCCACTGATCCTCCATGCCAACTCAGGACAGCCTACATCACTTCTTTGTTTCAGCCATTGTCAAGTTTTCAGATATATATGAATACAATCCTAACCCAATACCCATTTTACAGAGAAGGACACTTTGATTCAGAAGAGTTAAATAAATTGCCTAAGATCATGCAGCAAGTAGTCGTGGATTTAATTCTGGACCCCTCAGACCTCCGTATTCACTGCTCTTTTCACATCTCACTGTCTTTCCTCATGTAAGCTTTTTTTTTTTTTTTTTTTTGAGGAAGATTAGCCTCTTTTTGCTGAGGAAGACTGGCCCTGAGCTAACATCCAGGCCCATCTTCCTCTACTTTATACATGGGATGCCTACCACAGCATGGTGTGCCAAGCGGTGCCATGTCTGCACCCAGGATCTGAACTGGCGAACCCCGGGCTGCCGAAGCAGAACGTGTGCACTTAACTGCTGCACCACCGGGCCAGCCCCCATGTAAGCTATTTTTTAAGAATTTTTTTTGAGGT